TCTGAAAGTTTGATGAACAGACAAGACAACTTCAATACTGTACTTATTACATAGCATAACTTACCTTCACTTAGGACAGACCTTAATGGCCACAGCCACACCCTTTACCACCAACACCTGTTCCTTGCTATCCTCACCAAAGAAAACCTTGCATTGTAGCGACACCTTTGCTTGCTTCTCAGTTTCACCATTCTGAAGGATACGATGAAAAACCTTCACTTGGGGTCCCTGAGAATGAAACAACCTTTGCCGTTACAGTTACTTTCCTAGTGTAGCAAATTACGATTTTTCCATGTCTTTAATATACAAATTAATACATACAATGCATAAGCTTTAGAGATTTGATATCCTAATGCAATTAACATCTTAAGAATTATGCTGCTGAACAGCATACAGTAGAGATAGTTACTAATCACAGAACAGGTGGGGTTTAAACCTATGGCAAGCGAGACCTAAGACTCGCTTGCCATGAGTTTAAATTCCACCCATTCCATGATTTGTTTGCAATCTTATTATAATTTTGCAAGTCCAAGATATTTTCTATTTATAACTGTTAAATAATAAATCAAATATCTTGTGTAACTAATAGAAATTTCCTCACCCTAAGTTTGAGGACTTCTGTCGTAGCTACTGGCAAGTTATTAACATCCCTCAGAGTAAACTTGTCACCCTGCTGGACGAGGCACAGGGTAAACCTATATCCTTCAGGGTGAGTGTCTGACCAGAAGTAGTTGTTATTTATGTTCTGGGAATCGCTGGCAAAGGTGATCCTCTTGCCATAGCCCATTCCCACTGATAGTAGCCTCACGTTACGCCCCTGAAAAGACAAAAGTAATATCAGTTACAAATTGAGAACACAAAGGCATAATACCATAACTGGAACAATACATAAATAATCAGTACATTAAAGAAAAATGTCATAAAATTTTTCCCCTATGTGTGGGTTATATGTGTAAATTACAAAATGCAAAGTTTTCTTAATCTGTACAGTCCTGTACTTGCCAAAATTAATTAGTCACCAAAATTAATTAGCCGACCTAGAAAATGTACAGAGAACTTTCACGGCGCGCATAACGGAGATAAAACACCTCAATTATTGGGAGCGCTTGAGGTTCCTAAACCTGTATTCCCTGGAACGCAGGAGGGAGAGATACATGATTATATACACCTGGAAAATCCTAGAGGGACTAGTACCGAACTTGCACACGAAAATCACTCATTACGAAAGCAAAAGACTTGGCAGACGATGCACCATCCCCCCAATGAAAAGCAGGGGTGTCACTAGCACGTTAAGAGACCATACAATAAGTGTCAGGGGCCCGAGACTGTTCAACTGCCTCCCAGCACACATAAGGGGGATTACCAACAGACCCCTGGCAGTCTTCAAGCTGGCACTGGACAAGCACCTAAAGTCAGTTCCGGATCAGCCGGGCTGTGGCTCGTATGTTGGTTTGCGTGCAGCCAGCAGCAACAGCCTGGTTGATCAGGCTCTGATCCACCAGGAGGCCTGGTCTCAGACCGGGCCGCGGGGGCGTTGACCCCCGGAACTCTCTCCAGGTAAACTCCAGGTAAACAGAAGCATTAGCAAGACTAAATGCAACCAACAGTTGCATTTAAGTCTATGGCAATAGTATATTTTCAACAGTGAGATAAGTACTGCATTATAATTAACAATCATCATTTACTTGCCACTGAGTATCTGTGGTTCGATCCCTGGCACAGGTGGAAATGCTAATATGTTTCTTTACACCTGCTCTTGTCTGTTCACCTAGCAATAAGTGTTAATTGACTGTTGTGGGCTGCATCCTGGAGACAAGATTAAAGGACCCCACAGGAAACAAAGACAGTGCTCAATGACACACTAACTTTCTTAGGTTACGTGGGATGGCTAACAGTACGTGCTAAAAATCCAAGCAAAATCTTATCTTACCTTCAAGAGCAGCTTGGTCGAATCTGCATGTCGAACTTGGTAGCAGAAGCCAGGAGTAATGGCTGGATCAACATAGGTGCCAGTCACAGGTCTCTCGTGTACCTGCACGCTTCTAGCAGTATACCTTGCCGGCACATCCTGCACCAGGCCCCCATCCACCACACTTACACCTTGCCAGTGGCGTCGTAAGGGGAGAGGGCGCCCCGGGTGACACCATTTAGGGGGTGACACCAAAGAGCCTCTAAAGAAGGTGACACTAATGCCCAAAACAGTGCTGCAGCAACATATGAGAAAAATCCTTCGTTTCTATATAGCCTTTTATATGATTACATAGTACAAATAGGCCTATATAGGGAAAATCGTTGATTTTGATGATGTGATAGAAGATTTTGCAGGATTGAAGGCAAGGAAATGTAAGATCAGATTCACTGAGATGTTACCTGTACTCAAGGTCAATCGGAACTAGTGTTTCTCTGATATTGCAATGTTTTTCTTTATTTTTCATTTTTTTTTGCATTGTTGAAGATGAATAAATGCAGGATCTGTTGCCTGTACTCAAAGTGGTATTTGAGTTGATGTTTCCTCAATATTACTACGATTACTTATTTTATCATTAATAAAGTTGAGAGGTATTCTATTCGGTTTATGGCCCTTAAAACGTTCTCATTGCTAAACATTAATCATTAGTCATGCAGTAGTGACGTAACTGGAGTTTACTCCCCCCATCCCACTCGCCGTTGGATTTCATGGGGGTGACACCAAAGATGCCGTCCCAGGTGACATCAACCCTAGCAACGCCAATGCTTGTGAATATAATAATATATAATATTCAAGATGAATTTAAGAATTTTCATTTGGATTATTAACCCCGGAGCGCTGATAATCCATAAAAAACAGGTCATCTTCCCTAGATGAGACCTACAGGAGTCCATAGCCAAACTCGTAGGTAGCAGATGAAAGTTAATTATGGCAGAAAGATTAAGATTAAGGTTAATGGGGTTTAAAGCCTATTGACTACATGGGGGCCATTAACATGGTAACTTTTCCACTGCCAGATAAGAATACTTTAATGAGTTTAATCCCTAAAATAGGAATTAAAGTAAACTCAGCATATATACGCTGAGAAATGCACCCCTTAGGGTGTATCTTGTGTGTTTGTTCAAGGTAGCAGATGTTCACTCCAGACGTAGCTTTACACCTATTACTCAAACAAATTTTATTTCTTTGTGCAGTATGAAAATGATAGTCTACACGTGATAAAATATTTTTAAGAGCAAAAGAAAGCCACTAGCATGCATGTACATTTCGGGCAGCAGGTGAAGGGATACTCTGTACGTATATTGTCTTGAGTAAACAAGGCCCCGGAGTCCAAAATGTTTATATAATACAATGTCCTAGGTAAGTAAGTATGTAAGTTTATTTAGGCACAGGTACACATAAGTGCAATTATCATACATAATGTAAATTATCTAGAATAATGAAGAAAAAAGGTGTTTGCCCAAGTGATTTTAACTAAAACTTTTGGTATTATATAGGATGGGCATGGAGTGCATCATAAAGATATTGAACTCACACCATGAGGAGACTTATTCATGGCAGCAGATGTTAAGATAGTAATTCATGGTAAAAGATATAAGATGTATGCAGGTATGCCTAGCAACAACCAGGATTCGAACCTGGGTATAGAGATTATGCTTTTTTTTAGAGACACGGTAGGACCAAACAACTCCTAAGGGAAAATGCGAATTGCTTCATTATTAACGATATAATAGTGTAAATGAGAGGATTTCTGAAATCCCGAGATTGTATCTACACTTTATATTATCTAGATAAATTAACTAGATTATAATGAAATTGCAATTTATGAAAAAACCTAATGATTGCATTGTTAATGATAAGGTATCTGAAATCCAAAGATTTTGTCCACACGCTGCGTATGGGAAAAAAATATATAATGCTTCTAAAATGTTTAAAATATTAAACTATAAATAGTCGGCTCTGATAAAGACTTCTTATGACCTTTGTCCTATCACAAGATGAGCATAGTATGTAAATAAACTCAGACACCAAAAATGAAGTAGGTAATGAAATCTCCCAACCTAAATTAGTAAATTTCAATGTGGAGATGAGATTATCCACGACTGTTTGAAACATACGGGGCATTTAAAACTTTTGTTGTAACGTAAATTCTGATTTTAACCCATAGCTCACTGGAGAACGTGCATGCCTCGCACCCGAATGGTCCCGGGTTCGATTCCCAGGCCCAGCATAACGTGTGGAGCAAATTTCCTTACGTCCCAGGTTTATATACGAAAAATTACAGAACCTCTGAAAATCATATTATGGTTATAGTGTCAGTGTGCAAGAAAATTCCTGATTTACTAAAGCCGTTTACTTGTTAGGTAAAAATAGCCACAAAATGCTAGAAACACACACACACACACACACACACACACACACACACACACACACACACATATATATATATATATATTATATATATATATATATATATATATATATATATATATATATATATATATATATATATATATATATATATATATATATTATATATATATATATATATATATACATACAAAGAAATGCTGAAAATGACGTAAACGTCATAATACTATTAAAAATGTTCGCAGATGGAGGTGTGGATATTGCGAATCAAGTTAAATAAAACGAAATAGAAATTTCACAAGAATGTGAAGAGCGTACGTCGTATGCTAGGTATTGTATATAATATTCATTCCTTTTTTCAGGAAATACTTTAAAGCTACAGATCAATCAGTCAATGAACAAATAAGATTATAATGATGAAACGACGTCAGAAGAATGTGGAGAACGATAGATAAGAGGGAGCACCAATAGATGGCAGCATCACCACGTACACTTGGTCGCCATATTGACTCCTAGTGCCGCCTTCCTTATTTATCTAAATATACTCCAACGTACTGACATTTAACGCAGAATTTTTAGGTAAGCGTACATAAGCAAGTGTCAAAATACGAAGGTACGCATTTGCAAATGTACTTCTATTGTCTGTGTTGGGGACTCGATGTGTGGAAGTTGGGTCACTTGGGGTGGGCCTTGGGACGTGATAGCAGATTGGTCCTGGGTTCGAGTCCCTCCACATGGCCAAGCATGTGGGGAACATTGTGGTTACATCTTACTTAGTACTCGGCACACTACACCTAGAATGAATGCAGTGGATGAATAAGCAGCAGCGCAAGTTGTGTAAGTTACCTGGCCGTATGTTTGATCAGTCATTAGGAAAATTATTTCAAGTGGGTGTGGAGGAGGTGACAGTATATGAAGTTCATTGATCTGTGTAATATATATAGGCTTTACCGAGGCACGTTGAGGCAAGGGATGTTCAGTTTATGTATGAAAGGTCCCCTCAAGGAAGGTTCCTTGATGTTGGTGAGGGGCTCTTGATTTAGGGAATTGGATCTGTGCTCCAGTTCCCCAAATTAAGCCTGAATGCCTTCCACATCCCCCCCAGGCGCTGTATAATCCTCCGGGTTTAGCGCTTCCCCCTTGATTATAATAATAATAATATGTATGAAAGGTAACCAGTAAGCTGACTAGTAAATCATTGACAAAAGACAGCGCGTCTTTAGACTAAAACGAGTTTTCATCCATAATGTTAATGTTTCGTCAGAATTACACTGGGTGAAAAGTCATTTTAATAAAGATGTGCTCTCTTCTAGGCTTTGATTTGCTATATTTGTCATAGTCCTCAGCTATAATGTTGATGACTGCCGTTGTCATTTCTTCATAGGGATGTAAGTTTATTTTAGGCACAGGTACACAAAAATACAATTATCATACATAGTGTAAATTACCTAGGATAACCATTATATGTTTGTCTGTATTAAATGGATAAATAGAGGGACCTCGGTGAAATAAGCAACATTGTTTGACTATTGGATTATCCTATGTTAAATATAAAATATGAGGTTCTAATCCTAGGAAACAAACAAGTATGGCACTTAATGCTGAGTAATATAGATTTTTGTCAAACTGAATCCAAAACCTTTAGGACCCTAATGAAAATAAGCCACTTTGACTATTTTGGGGGGCTATCCTAGGTAATTTACACATAAGTTACTATGTATAATCGTACTTGTGTGTACCTGTACCTAAATATACTGACTTGGTTAACAGAAATTTAAAGTCAAGGCAACTGTGCATAAGTCTGTTACTTAATATGGTAAGTCATTCCTAAAACTAGCAGGCCAATTCACTGTCCACTGTTCCATGTTAGCTAATAAATTAGAGTATAGAAATCTGAGTAGAGGCAGGAGAAGCAGAGGTCATCCCAAGAAGGGTCACAGGGAGGGAGTAAAAGTGGTTTTAAGTGGTAAGGGCTCTAGTTTCCTACAAGTGTGTGTGTGAGCATGTTAAGTTGAAATGAGGAAAGAAATAATTTTTTGGGGATTGACATCCTGTTGTAATGTGAGCAAGATAACATTTACGAAGGAATTCAGGGAAACTGATTAGCCAGACTTGAGTTCTGGAGGTGGGAAGTACATTGCCTGCAGTTGGAAAGGAGGATCCTATTTTGGAGGTAGATGACTGGTTTAGTAAAAAAGAAGAAATTAAAATATATTTAATATTAAAGGATTATAACTTTGCATATTGTCTTTATAGATATACATATATGAAATTGATGTTTTATAATGATTTAAACATTTAGCTGCATCCTAAGAATTTGTAAATGGAGGAGCACTCCTATAGGCTGTGAAAGGTGAAAATCCCAAAAGTTGGTTGCAGATATGTTAAATGCACCGTGTTAGTAAGTATAAGTATTTATGTGTTACAGGTACACATAAATGCACCTACATAAATTATCATATATAGCAGAATATGTGTAGATTACCTAGGATAGCCCAAAAAAGTTTTGGTCGTGGTTTATGAACCATGCAGGCCCATTATCTCATATCTAGGCCAGATTTACTGCTTCTAGCTTATCTGAGTGAGCTGAGCTGCTGATGTAGAGCTATGAGAGGGAATGGCATCAGTGATGTAGTTCTACATACAGTCACTAAAAGGGTCAATGAGGTATGTATCTCTACCTCCATTATGTGTTGAGATCTGCTGAGGTTTATGGAAGTGACTATAACATGAGGAAAATAGGGATGCTACTAGTATGTGATTGGCAGCAGGTTATTTAGGTGTAGGTGACTGATTCATTAGTGTATGCTTACCATAGACTTTATCCTTAGCAATAAATTTAATTTTATTGGTTATCTATGAATTAACCAATTTTTAATGCAAAATAAATTTTTTTGCAGTGTTAATCCTGTGATTTGTTGCAGTTTGTTATTTTCAAAGACAATATTAATAATTAACATACATACAGATGATGGAAGAGGATAGTGGAATATTTGAACCAGGACCAAGTCAGGGGTTTTCCACAGAGAGAAGTAAAGTTCCTATTTATACTACAGAACAGGATGATATACCTGTACCTCCTTCCAGACCAAGAGATGAGGTAATTGTTTAGTATATTACAGATGTACAGTATGATGCTAATGGTGAAATGGTTGTAGTTGCCTGTTTTTTTTAAATGTCATTGAGTGTTACCCCTTTTATAACTGAATTTTCAAATTACAGTATATTTTTATTGTAAATTATTTCATTGGGAATTATTTGGTAGTCTTATATTGGTACAGTGGACCCTCGACCAACGATGGCATCGTATAACGTTAAATCCGACTAACGATATATTTTAAGCAAAATTTTTGCCTCGACTAGCGCTTAAAAACTCAACCAACGCCATTCGTTCCGTTCGAGATGCATCCACGTGTGGCCTGCTCAGTGTTTACAAGCCAGCCACCGCAGTCACATCCAAACATACAATCTGAACATTTCATATTATCACAGTGTTTTTAGTGATTGCACCTGCAAAGTAAGTCACCATGGGCCCCAAGAAAGCTTCTAGTGCCATCCCTCTGATAAAAAGGGTGAGAATTAGTATGGAAATTAAAAAAGATTTTGAAGGGTTTGGGGCTAACCCTGAGATGCCTATGCTAGTTGTGGAATCCATTGTGCCTACTTCAAAGATTAAGGAAATATGTGCAAACTGGGTTGAACTGCAAACCTTTATGGATGAAAATCACCCTAACACAGCTATTGCAAGCCGTGCTGGTGACTATTACAATGACAATGTTGTGGCCCATTTTAGACAAATCGTAAAGGAACGGGAGGTACAGAGCTCTGTGGACAGATATGTTGTGCGACAGAGGTCCAGTGACTCTCAAGCTGGTCCTAGTGGCATTAAAAGAAGAAGGGAAGTAACCCTGGAAAAGGACTTGACACCTCAAGTCCTAATGGAAGGGGATTCCCCTTCTAAACACTAACACCATCCACACTCTCCCTTCCTCCCATCCCATCAATCATCACCAGATCTTCAGTAAAGGTAAGTGTCATGTAATTGTACATGTCTTCTTCAGTTTGTGTGTATTAAAATTAATATTTCATGTGGTAAAATTTTTTTTTTTCAATACTTTGGGGTGTCTGGAACGGATTAATTTCATTTCCATTATTTCTTATGGGGAAAATTAACTCGACTAACGATAATTTCGACTAACGATGAGCTCTCAGGAACGGATTAATATCATTGGTCAAGGGTCCACTGTATATGCAAATGTTTATTTGCCTTAGATAGAATAACACTGTATGCAGTACCCATATGTTGTACATATAGTGATTAAATAGCATTTACTTGTAATTGAAATATCTTTATAGCTATAGGAGTAGAGCTAAGTTTATGAAGTCCCATCTTTAATATTTAATCCATTATAAAGCTTTTAAAGTTCAGTGGTTGTAGCACTTGCTACTTTCTCTTTTAACTCATTTTGTTGATCTACCACTGTAAAATTATGTGTATACAGTGTAAAAAGTGCTTTTTATCCTTTTACTATTTTTAATTCTTCTGGAATGAGTCTTATATTTTCTAAACTTAATCTTCTCTACAGTACCCTGTTATTCATTGGTTTCTGCCTCATTGTTGTCTCTTCACATTTTCCCTTTTAAATTTATGGTTATTGTCTTTCCGTGTGCACTTCTGGGTTTACATTTGTCTTTCCATTTTTTTTTTCCATTTGAAATTGCATATCTGTCTCAAAATTGCTTTGACATGCTTGAAAGTTTGCATTAGTTTTGTCAAAATATCTTTGCTATAACCTTGTGTGTGCTAATTTAGGGACTTTTTTGTTGGCTTATGAAAGGTCTTCCATCAGATTGTTGCTACTGTACTTAGTTCAAGTTTCTCTTCTTTCACATTTATATTTGCATGTGAAAAATTTTTAATCTGACATCATAAAGCCTTCCTTGCCTATAATACATGCCCACTTGCATCAGCATTTAGTATTTGTCTTACTGATACAGTATACAACTTTTTTCATCCTACCTTGCATTTCACATATTAGCCAAGTTGCAATTGTTGTCAGCTGGGTGTAAAATATAAGGTTCAAAAGATTATCAGAGGAAGCATTTTGCCCACATTTTAAAAACAATGGTAACAATGAGCTATTTTCACGTTTCTCCCATGTGACCCATATTTAACATGATCTAATTGAAATAAGTTACGTATAGTAAATAAACTGAATCATCAGACGTGTATTTTTTGTAAATATGTGCTGCAACTTTAAGGATGTGAATTGATTGCCACTGAAATTAAAGAGCTGCATAGTCATTCTTTTAAATTGGGAATACACTTTTGTTTTGGCCATCTATTCGCTCCATGTATTGTGATAGAAAAATATAATCTGTATTTTTCTTTGCCATCCTATGCAGTTCCTAGAACTAGTGTTCACCGATTACTCTTCATACTTTCAGTAGGAACTTAAAGCCTATGTAGTTCCTAGAACTGCATAGGCTGGCAAAGAAAAGATTCATTAGCATTGTAAGTTCCTACTGAAAGTATGAAGAGTAATTAGTGAACACTAGTTCAGCTTTTTTCTGGAATGTATAGGTTTCATAAACTGTCAAAAGATGCTCAGATGATTGTAATTTTCAGGATGGTGACTCTGAATATGGTGTTCAGCGAAGTATAAGTTGTTCACAGTTGACAGCATGGAACACCCAGCTCTATGAAAAAAATTATGTTATCTGTCCACTTCCTAATTGTGGCTTAATGTTTCATGGTGCTCCACAGATTCAAAATCATTATGTCAACTGTAATGGGGTAAGTAGTTATTGTTTTGCTCTGTTCATTTGAAATATTTTCTTTATAAAATGGTCCTCATATATAATATTAAGTAGATTTTTTGCATTATGCAGGTATCTTTTGTTCACTCAAGAAATTCCATTATTTAAGAGGAAATTTAGAATCTTTCCTAAAATGTTCTGAGGCTGCAAACAGACATCAAGACATCAAAATATAACTTTAATGACACTCACACTGCACTGCCATTGAATATTAGGACCACATTGCGATAGTGTATCAATGATCTTCATAATGCTGCATTACTATTCAACCTTATTTTTTGGCTGATGATACTACCTTGTCTTCTCAAGTTCTCAACCTATTATACTTAACCCTTTGAGGATTGCCAGGCCCTCTCAGAGACTTGTTCTTAGGGTTGCCAAAATTTAAAAAAAAAAAAATAATTTTTTCTTATGAAAAGATAGAGAATCTTTTCCCGTTCATAATGACACCAAAAGTATGAAATTTGATAGAAAACTTATGGAATTATGCTCTCGCGAAGTTAGCGGTCTCGACGATGTTTACGCATCGGCGATTTTGCCCACTCTGAGCCCTATTTTCGGCCAATTCCAGTGTACTAGTCGACAAAAATCATAATTATTTCGCTAGAACTCCATTTTTTCCATCGAATGAGTACAAGAAACCACCCATTTACCGATTTCAACTATCCAATAAAGTGGTCAGAATTTAGCAATTTTGCCAATTTCACACAAATTTCAAAAGATGCCAATTTCCAAGTAGGGTCCAGAATAAACAAGAAAGACATTCCTGGCACTAAAATTACATTTCCTCTGTTCATTAGTCACATCCCCACGCCCCTCTTACATTTCTTTTGCTTTCCACTTTGAATTTTTATTCTCACAAAAAATAGAAGATTTACTGTTATGCAGACTACTGTATTAGTGTAGAAATGGTATAAATAATACCAGCGCACTTGTGAAAGAATATTAGATTCACCAGTTGACACGTATTGGACGTGTGGCACGATTTGTTTACTTTTGAACTTTGGCAAAAATCTAACATTTCTGCTACTTTGATCTCAATTTCAAGGTACTTTTCATTGTGAAACCAATCAAAATCATCTCAATTTCTGTAATATGTCTTCCATTCTATAAAATAAGACCAGGAAAACTAGAATACAACCATAAATACCATACGAAAATACAGTGCAAAGTCGCTGTTTTAAACCAAAAACACAGTCAAAGTTTTTTTTTTTCTCATTACGCACTGTGTGCTGCAGGATTTTTTTTTATACTGCATACACTGACCACATAGACCCATTCTTTCATATGTAGGCCTATCATGTGGGAGTTCGACACGTGGATTAGGTAAAGTAATACTCACGTAGGCTGGTAGTACGTATAATTACAGACAAGGTGAGTAGCGCCCTTACAGCCGTAACCTAGTCTCTCTGCTCTCTCTCGTACAACTGACTGACTGCCTGACTGGCCGCCCACAGTACCCATATGTGAGAGGGTCTTTGAATACTGCCAGGTCAGCGCAATATGAGTTCAGACAGTGACTCAGGCAGAGACGGTTGGTCGTGAGTCAACTGGCACAGTGGTTACTGGTAACTGGTTACTACTACTGAGAGGCCTACCAGCTTTCTCTTGCTAGATTTGAGGGCGCTAGAATTTATGCATACTAGTACGTCAAAAACCCTGGCGCTTAAGCCATACTAGTACGGCCGAAGCCCCGAAAAGGTTAAAGCTTAGTGATATGAGAGGGTATCACACCCATGAGAGGCTGAATCTTTAACAGGTGGCCCCTTTGTAAAAGACTGAAATTGTCATATGAGGATGTAGCAAATACAGTGGACCCCCGCTTAACGATCACCTCCCAATGCGACCAATTATGTAAGTGTATTTATGTAAGTGCGTTTGTACGTGTATGTTTGGGGGTCTGAAATGGACTAACCTGCTTCACAATATTCCTTATGGGAACAAATTCGGTCAGTACTGGCACCTGAACATACTTCTGGAATGAAAAAATATCGTTAACTGGGAGTCCACTGTACAGAGGCTCAGCTGTACAGTACTTTTAAGGACAAAGAATTTTACTAACATGTTGAATGGTTTCTAAGGAAAATGAGATGGGGCGACCCTCCTGAAAGTATGGGCTCAATTCTCCATGTTGTGCAATCCATAATAGCTGCCATAAAACATTTGTAATGAACTTGTTAGATGCATATTGTAATTGGTATACTGTATTAGAACTAGATAAATCTGGTTTTTCTTCTTCACACAAAAAGTGAATGGTAGAGTTTATTTTTGGGAGACTCTTTGGTCAAAAGTTACAAATTAAAATTTTGTGAAATTTGAGTACAGTATTATGAATCTGCAAGTCTGACTGTACATAACTAGTTTTGAGCTTCATTGTTAAGATTGAACTTACATTTAAAAAAAAAAATGTCCAAGTCTGCATCTCCAGTCATAATACAAGTGTCTCTGGGAAAATGGAATTCACTTTTAATATAATGTTCGCTTAATGAACTTAATGTTATTACTGATTGTGTTCATAACATTTGAAAGTATTACTCTGCTCAACAATCAAATTTTGGCTGTTAATTAGCAAAGGTCAAGTTTTAAATGGTATCATCATTTTGCTATGAATCATATAGTGACACAGTTTACCATTGTGTTTAACATTGAGTTGCTGTGTAATTGTATTTTAATAATAATCTATTTTCTGAATACATTTAATCATAATAGAGATGTGACAGTGCTGTGCTGAAGTGTAGCAGGTGCCAAGCCATGGTTTTAATGGATCATATGCATCAACATATGAAAGCCATGCATCATTTAGAACAATCTCGTCACCCAAGCAGTGATTCTAGCAGTAGTGAGGTTGCTAGAGTGACAGGTGCCTTAGAAGGAAAAAGATCTAGTCACAAGAGTGGAAGGCATCTTGTAGCTTCTGCAACTGCATCTGGAGCAACACCAGTAGTAAGCTGTGTTAATGTTTTTGGAATTTATTTAATATTTTTTTTATCCTAGGTTAAATCAGCTTAATTTCTTATGTGCTTATTAAATCTGTATGCTCTCAAAACCATTCTTGAACATTTGAGTATTATCCAATGTACTTAAAGCTGGAAGAAATTGGACAAATTGAAATAGTGTTTTCATGCAATAATTTCTGAGTGCTGCAGCTGAATTGCTTCATGCATAAGGTGCTTGTGTATTTGAAGATATTGATCTCTTTGGTTTCTGAAAGGTTTGAATTAGGTTTGAAGCATTCATGTTCTAATTTACAATTTTGAAGAGATTTGGACATTTGTGGCATTTATGGATTTGGAAAAGGCATATGACAGGGTGGATAGGGGAGAAGTGTGGCAGATGTTGCAAATGTATGGAATAGGGGGTAGGTTATTGAAAGCAGTGAAGAGTTTTTACGAGGATAGTGAGGCTCATGTTAAAGTATAAAATAATACTTCATGGGTAAGTGGAGAAGAATCCGTCCTCTGTAAGCCATGCTTGTTGTAAGAGGCGACTAAATTGCTGGGATCAAGTGGCTAATAACCCCTTTTCCTGTATAAATTACTAAATGTAAAAAAAAAAAAAATTAATTTTTGTTTTTTAGGTCACCTTGCCTTGGTGGAAGATGGCTTGTGCTTTAAAACAAATAATAACAATAATAATGTGTAATAATAATAATAGTGGCGGTGTCAGTGTCAGCAGCTCAGGTGGTAGCAGCAGCAGCAGCAGCAGCAGCAGCAGCAGCAGGAGTAAAAGAGGAGAAGCACCATTTTTTGTTAAAGAAAAAAAGAAAAAAAAATATCTGTGGATTGACTATGATGAACATCCATAGGAATCGCTTTTTGATAATTTTTCTTTCAACGAACCGGCGGTGTCCCACCCAGGCAGTTTGGCCCAAAAAGAAAAATGGAAATTTCTCTTTAAATTTAGTAATATAAACAGGAGAAGGAGTTACTAGCCCCTTGCTCCCGGCATTTTTAGTTGCCTCTTACGATACACGTGGCTTATGGAGGAAGAATTCTGTTCCACTTCCACATGAAGAATAAAGTAAAATATTGTATTATAAATGTTAAAACCCTAGGTAGTAGGTGGGTAGACTTCAGCCACCCAGAAACCTGTAATTGTGTTACATGATGGCAGAATTGCTGGTGTCTTTTTTCTGCTTCATAAACATGCAAGATTTCAGGTACATCTTGCTACTTCTACTTACACTTAGGTTACACTACATATGCATGTACAAACATATACAGTAGGGCCCCACTTACACGGCAGGTTAGGTTCCAGGCTACCGATGTAAAGCGGAAATCACCGTAAAGTGGAACACCGTTTTTTCCACTTATAAATGCATACAAATACTAGATAACAAGTTTACACTAACATATATTAAGTTAGCAATAGAACTAGGCATTAAAAACAACAAAAAAGTAAAATACTCATATAGTACACTCATTACTTATCTTAAAATATTTTTAGTCTTAATCTAGGGTGAGACGAGTAGTATTTATTGTAAGAAATCAGGTATGGTATGTATGGTAGCCAGCCAGGCTACCATACCAGGCCACCTCACCCACACAATATTCTATGACATTTAAGTACCCAGAGTGATAAAATGCATATACAGTTCACTCATTACTTACCTTAAAATATTTGTAGTCTTAATGTAGGGTCAGGGGTGAGTAAACGAAATAAAACAAATAAATGAGAGAGAGAGAATGAGTACGTGAGAGAGAACAAGCGCAGAGTTATGTAAACAAACCAGGTGAATGCAAGTTTTGTAAACAGACCGGGTGTACACGTCTGGTCTGTGTACAAGTTACATTGTGTACAAGTTGTCTCTACATTGACATGGTAGAATAAATAAAGAGGAACACTCCCATTCTCGTGTAACACCATTTTTAGAAGAAATGACGCTCTGAGTTAAGGCAATGGAAATAAGTCACTCTGACTCTTTTGGGTTATCCTAGGTACTTTACACATATGCTGCTATGTATGATAATCTATGTATCTGTATTTGTGTATGCCTGAATAACCTTACATACGAAAGGAATTATTTTCTACAGTTACCCCCAGTAATGCATTTTCTCTTTGTTGGACTAGAGAAAATATTATTCTTACAGTCACTTGTACAAGTTGTCTGGCTACCACATCTCATATTTATGTTTATTTATTCTACTGTGGGGTGTATTTATCATCTTTATGTGTTATGTATCGTGTTTATTATATAATTTTGAAAAAATATCAATAGATGGATTAAAGAAAATGTGTATTTTAATGTAATATACGACATTTAATGAGACTTGGTGATTATTATTATCATCATTACTAATATGGTGTCACTCGTACAAGTTGTCTGGCTACCACATCTCATATTTTTGGTTATTTATTCTACTGTGGGCTGTATTTATCGTCTTTATATGTTATGTATCGTGTTTAATATATAATTTTAAAAAAATATCATAGATTAAAGAAAATATGTACAGGAAGGCCCCGCTTTACGGCGTTTCACTTTACGGCGTTCCGCTAATACGGACATTTCAAATTATGACCAAAACTCGCTATACGGCTCCCCCCACCTGACTTTCTAATACGGTCACCGTGTCCCACCCTGTTTGTTTACATTCTCCATGAGCTCAGTAAGCACTAAGTCTCTCCATTTTGTCTGGAAACTCCAAAATTTCAAATGTTTTTAAAAGTTATTTCATATTTTATATATACTCTGATAATTATACTTACGTATACCTGTACCTAAATAAACTTACATACTGTGCTGGCATGCAGGTACACATTAAAATTGGTAAGTGTCTTATGTCTCCAGACGTCATATTAGTAATGATGATAATAATCATCGAGTCATTTAAATGTCGTATATTACGCTAATATACACATTTTCATTAATCCATCCATGATATTTTTTTCAAAATTATATAATAAACACGATGCATAACATATAAATAAGATAAATACACCCACAGTAGAATAAATAACATAAATGTGAGATGTGGTAGCAGACGACTTGCACAAGTGACGCCATATTAGAAATGATAATAATAATAATAATAATACTCACCGAGTCTCATTAAATGTCGTATATTACGGTAATATACACATTTTCATTAATCCATCCATGATATTTTTTCAAAATTATATAATAAAACACGATGCATAAATATAAATAAGATAAATACACCCCACAGTAGAATAAATAAACATAATGTGAGATGTGGTAGCAGACGACTTGCACAAGTGACGCCATATTAGAAATGATAATAATAACAATACTCACCGAGTCTCATTAAATGTCGTATATTACGTTAATATACACATTTTCATTAATCCATCCATGATATTTTTTTTCAAAATTTATAATAACACGATACATAACATAAAAAGATGATAAATACACCCCACAATAGAATAAATAAACATAAATATAAGATGTGGGAGCCACATAACTTGTACAAGTGACGGCAAGAATAACATTTTCTCTAATCTAACATAAGAGAAATGTGTTACTGGGGGTAACTGTAGAAAATTATTCCTTTGTATGTATGTAAGTAAGTTTATTCAGGTATACACAAATACAGTTACATAGATTATCATACATAACAACATACGTGTAGGAAACCTAGGATAACCCAAAAAAGTCAGTGTGACTTATTTCCATTGCCTTCACTCAGAGCTTCATTTCTTCTCAAAATGTTGTTACATGAGAATGGGAGTGTTCTTCTTTATTAATTCTACCGTATCATGTAGAGACAACCTGTACACAATGTAACTTGTACACAAACCAGACGTGTACACTTCGTTTGTTTACAAAACTTACGTTCGCCTGGTTTGTTTACATAACTCTGCGCCTGTCCCCTCTCATGTACTCATTCTTTCTCTCTCTCATTTATTCGTTTTATCTCATTTACTTACTCCTGACCCTACATTAAGACTACAAATATTTTAAGGTAAGTAATGAGTGAACTGTATATACATTTTATCGCTCTGGGATGCTTAAATATCATAGAATAGTATGTGTGGGTGGGGTGGCCTGGTAAGGTAGCCTGGCTATTACCATACATACCACACTTGATTTCTTACAATAAATACTACTTGTCTCACCCTAGATTAAGACTATAAATATTTTAAGGTAAGTAATGAGTGCACTATGTGTGTATTGTACTTTTTTATTGTTTTTTGATGCCTGGTTCTATTGCTAACTTAATATATGTTAGTGTAAACTTGTTATCTAGTGTTTGTATGCATTTATAAGTGGAAAAAAAGGGTGTTCCACTTTACGGCGGTTTCCGCTTTACGGCCGTATAAGTGGGGCCCTCCTGTATATTAACGTAATATATGACATTTAATGAGACTTGGTGATTATTATTATCATTACTAATATGGCGTCTCGAGACATAAGACACTCTTAATGATTTTAATATGTACCTGTATGCCAGCACAGTAAGTTTATTTAGGTACAGGTATACATAAGTATAATTATTTTATTTTTATTATCACACTGGCCGATTCCCACCAAGGCAGGGTGGCCCGAAAAAGAAAAACTTTCACCATCATTCACTCCATCACTGTCTTGCCAGAAGGGTGCTTTACACTACAGTTTTTAAACTGCAACATTAACACCCCTCCTTCAGAGTGCAGGCACTGTACTTCCCATCTCCAGGACTCAAGTCCGGCCTGCCGGTTTCCCTGAATCCCTTCATAAATGTTACTTTGCTCACACTCCAACATATATTATATATTATATATTATATATATTATATATATTATATATTATAGTATAATATATAATATATAATATATATTATATAATATATAATATATAAGTATTAATCAGAGGGCTGAAGAGGGGTTGTTGAGGTGGTTTGGTCATTTAGAGAGAATGGATCAAAATAGAATGACATGGAGAGCGTATAAATCTGTAGGGGAAGGAAGGCGGGGTAGGGGTCATCCTCGAAAAGGTTGGAGGGAGGGGGTAAAGGAGGTTTTGTGGGCGAGGGGCTTGGACTTCCAGCAAGTGTGCGTGAGTGTGTTAGATAGGAGTGAATGGAGACGAATGGTATTTGGGACCTGACGATCTGTTGGAGTGTGAGCAACGTAATATTTAGTGAAGGGATTCAGGGAAACCGGTTATTTTTATATAGCCGGACTTGAGTCCTGGAAATGGGAAGTACAATGCCTGCACTCTAAAGGAGTGGTTTGGGATATTAGCTGTTTGGAGGGATATATTGTGTATCTTTATAGTTATATGCTTTTAAACTGTTGTGTTCTGAGCACCTCTGCAAAAGCAGTGATTATGTGTGAGTGAGGTGAAAGTGTTGAATGATGATGAAAGTATTTTCTTTTTGGGGATTTTCTTTCTTTTTTGGGTCACCCTGCCTCGGTGGGACACGGCTGGTGTGTTGAAAGAAAGAAAAGAATATATATATATATATATATATATATATATATATATATATATATTATATATATATAATATATATATATATATATTATATTATATATATATATATATATAGTAGTAGGTTGGTAGACAGCAACCACCCAGGAGGTTACTACCGTCCTGCCAAGTGAGTGTAAAACGAAAGCCTGTAATTGTTTTACATGATGGTAGGATTGCTGGTGTCTTTTGTCTGTCTCATAAATATGCAAGATTACAGGTACGTCTTGCTACTTCTACTTACACTTAGGTCACACTACACATACATGTACATGTTTATTTATACACACTCATCTGAGTTTTCTTTGATTTTATCTTAATAGTTCTTGGTCTTATTACTTTTCCTTTTATATCCATGAGGAAGTGGAATAAGAATCTTTCCTCCGTAAGCCATGCGTGTTGTAAAAGTCAACTAAAATGCCGGGAACAATGGGCTAGTAACCCTTTTCCTGTAAAGATTACTAAAAAGAATAAGAAGAAGAAAATTGTCAAAGTGGGAAGTCTGAATGTGCGTGGATGTTGTGCAAATGATAAGAAAGAGATGATTGTGGATGTTATGAATGAGAAGAAACTGGATGTCCTGGCTTTTAAGTGAAACAAAGCTGAAGGGGGTGGGAGAGTTTCAGTGGAGAGGAATAAATGGGATTAGGTCAGGGTTTCAAATAGAGTTAGAGCTTAAAGAAGGAGTAGCAATAATGTTGAAGGATAAGCTATGGCAGGAAAAGAGGGACTACAAATGCATAAATTCAAGGATTATGTGGAGTAAAATGAAGATTGGATGTGAAAAGTGGGTTTATAGTAAGCGTGTATGCACCTGGAGAAGAGAGAAGTGTAGAGGAGAGAGAGAGATTCTGGGAAATGTTGAGTGAATGCGTGGGGAGTTTTGAATCAAGTGTGAGGAGTAATGGTGGTTGGGGATTTCAATGCTAAAGTGGGTAAAAATGTTATGGAGGGAGTAGTAGGTAAATTTGGGGTGCCAGGGGTAAATGTAAATGGGGAGCCTTTAATTGAGCTATGTGTAGAAAGAAATTTGGTAATAAGTAATACGTATTTTATGAAAAAGAGGATAAATATAATATACAAGGTATGATGTAGCACGTAATGAAAGTAGTTTGTTAGATTATGTATTGGTGGATAAAAGGTTGATGGGTAGGCTCCAGGATGTACATGTTTATAGAGGGCAACTGATACATCAGATCATTATTTAGTTGTAGCTACAGTTAGAGTAAGAGGTAGATGGGAAAAGAGGAAGGTGGCAACAACAAGTAAGAGGGAGGTGAAAGTGTATGAACTAAGGGAGGAGGAAGTTCGGGCGAGATATAAGCGACTATTGGCAGAAGGTGGGTAGTGCAAAGATGAGTAGTGGGGGGGTTGAAGAGGGTTGGAATAGTTTTAAAAATGCAGTATTAGAATGTGGGGCAGAAGTTTGTGGTTATAGGAGGGTGGGGGCAGGAGGAAAGAGGAGTGATTGGTGGAATGATGAAGTAAAGGGTGTGATAAAAGAGAAAAAGGTAGCTTACGAGAGGTTTTTACAAAGCAGAAGTGTTATAAGAAGAGCAGAGTATATGGAGAGTAAAAGAAAGGTGAAGAGAGTGGTGAGAGAGTGCAAAAGGAGAGTAGATGAAAGAGTGGGAGAGGCACTGTCAAGAAATTTTATTGAAAATAAGAAAAAATTTTGGAGTGAGTTAAACAAGTTAAGAAAGCCTAGGGAAAGTATGGATTTGTCCGTTAAAAACAGAGTAGGAGAGTTAGTAGATGGGAGAGAGGGAGGTATTAGGTAGATGGCGAGAATATTTTGAGGAACTTTTAAATGTTGAGGAAGAAAGGGAGGGCGGTAATTTCATGCACTGGCCAGGGAGGTATACATCGTTTAGGAGTGAAGAAGAGCAGAATGTAAGTGTGGTGGAGGTACGTGAGGCATTACGTAGAATGAAAGGGGGTAAAGCAGCTGGAACTGATGGGATCATGACAGAAATGTTAAAAGCAGGGGGGGATATAGTGTTGGAGTGGTTGGTACTTTTGTTTAATAAATGTATGAAAGAGGGGAAGGTACCTAGGGATTGGCGGAAGAGCGTTGTAAAGTTCCTTTATATAAAGGGAAAAGGGGACAAAAGAGATTGTAAAAATTATAGAGGAATAAGTTTACTGAGTATACCAGGAAAAGTATACGGTTTAGAGTTATAATTGAAAGAATTAGAGGTAAGACAGAATGTAGAATTGCGGATGAGCAAGGAGGCTTCAGAGTGGGTAGGGGATGTGTAGATCAAGTGTTTACATTGAAACATATATGTGAACAGTATTTAGATAAAGGTAGGGAAGTTTTTATTGCATTTATGGATTTAGAATAGGCATATGATAGAGTGGATAGAGGAGCAATGTGGCAGATGTTGCAAGTTTATGGAATAGGTGGTAAGTTACTAAATGCTGTAAAGAGCTTTTATGAGGATAGTGAGGCTCAGGTTAGGGTGTGTAGAAGAGAGGGAGACTACTTCCGGTAAAAGTAGGTCTTAGACAGGGATGTGTAATGTCACCATGGTGTTTAATATATTTATAGATGGGGTTGTAAAAGAAGTAAATGCTAGGGTGTTCGGGAGAGGGGTGGGATTAAGTTATGGGGAATCAAATTCAAAATGGGAATTGACACAGTTACTTTTTGCTGATGATATTGTGCTAATGGGAGATTCTAAAGAAAAATTGCAAAGGTTAGTGGATAAGTTTGGGAGTGTGTGTGAAGGTAGAAAGTTTGAAAGTAAACATAGAAAAGAGTAAGATCATGAGGGTATCAAATGATATAGATAAGAAAAATTGGATATCAAATTGGGGAGGAGGAGTATGGAAGAAGTGAATGTTTTCAGATATTGCCGTGTCAGCGGATGGATTTATGAAGGATGAGGTTAATCATAGAATTGATGAAGGAAAAAAGGCGAGATGGTGCGTTGAGGTATATGTGGAGACAAAAAACGTTATCTATGGAGGCAAAGAAGGGAATGTATGAAAGTATAGTAGTACCAACACTCTTATATGGGTGTGAAGCTTGGGTTGTAAATGCTGCAGCGAGGAGGCAGTTGGGGCAGGGAGATGTCCTGTCTAAGGGCAATGTGTGGTGTGAATATTATGCAGAAAATCTGTAGTGTGGAAATTAGGAGAAGGTTTGGAGTTAATAAAAGTATTAGTCAGAGGCAGAAGAGGAGTTGTTGAGGTGGTTTGGTCATTAGAGAGAATGGATCAAAGAAATGACATGGAGAGTGTATAAATCTGTAGGGGAAGGAAGGCGGGGTAGGGATCATCCTTGAAAAGGTTGGAGGGAGGGGGTGAAGGAGGTTTTGTGGGCAGGGGCTTGGACTTGCAACAATTGTGCGTGAGCGTGTTCAATAGGAGTGAATGGAGACAAATGGTATTTTGGGACCTGACGATCTGTTGGAGTGTGAGCAGGGTAATATTTAGTGAAGGGATTCAGGGGAAACCGGTTATTTTTATATAGCTAGACTTGAGTCCTGGAAATGGGAAGTACAATGCCTGCACTTTAAAGGAGGGGTTTGGGATATTGGCAGTTTGGAGGGATATGTTGTGTATCTTTATACATAGAGGCTTCCAAACTGTTGTATTCTGAGCACCTCTGCAAAACAGTGATTATGTGTGAGTGAGGTGAAAGTGTTGAATGATGAAAGTATTTTCTTTTGGGGATTTTCTTTCTTTTTTGGGTCACCCTGCCTCAGTGGGAGATGGTCGACTTGTTAAAAAAAAAAAGTGTGTGAAACTTGTGTTTAATATTGATAGTGAATTACACTTATGTTTACAGGTATCAGAAGATGATGACGGAAGAGATTTTCATCAGTGTTCTACTTGTGGGACATCAAAATTGTGTCCATCCTCGAAGTGAGTGTCCTCTTGAAAACAACTTTATGAATCAAGTTTTTATTACCTCCAAATTTCTTGGAATAGGTTTACGTTGTCTAGGTATGAATTATAACCTCGATAAAAAGATATTTTACCGTTTGCTGGGATACTTAAGGCTTTTTGCCCTTTTTTTTTTTCTTCTCCAACTTCATTTTTTGACAATTCTTTTAAATTGCTTCTCTCTACTATAACTTCATATGTTCAAAGAATGCATCCTCTTACTGAATTTAGGCTATGTGTGCCTTCTGGTGACTGTTAAGAAATAAAATGGTTTGAAGTGCTTTAACTGTGATCTCAAATTGTCTGATCTTCATAAAATGTTTCACATTTCTTGTTATAGTAATTCCCCAGTAAGCAAAAATTCACTTAGTGTAATTTTTAGTGGCTAAGGATACTTTAGGGAAAATTTTACATAGAATTTGTTCCCTTCTTAGTGACATCATATGGCAAAGTATTATCAGCTTCTAAAAAAAAAGAGAGAAAAACACGAACCCACTGAGCATCTCATCCTGCTTGAATGCTATGTTCCTTGAAAAAAATAATGTTGATTACTGTCCTCCATGTAGGAGATGTCAGTTAAAGGTTCGCATAAATTATTGATGTTCTTCATGTTGAGATTTTTTTATTGAATGGAGCAACTAGATAATGGATTTGGAAGCCGAGTCAAAAATGGGAGGACTGGTGTGCAAATAAGATGTAAACAGATGACTTACTGGGCAACTTGTGAGCTAGTCATATATTGATGTTATTACGGGTTATACCAACAGGTTCCTCTGTGAGACCTTTACCCACTCTCCTGAGGTATCCAGCATAACATTAAAGGGCTAGAATATGACATATCCTGATGGAAATATCATAAGATAACAATTGACCTATGAGACTTATTACCAGAGGGAAGGGTAGATGTTATCGTAACACGGACTAGTACTCGCTCTTAATTCACCGACCAGCTGACCCGAGATTCCAATGTGTGATCCACTACACATGTCGCTGTCCAGAGCTCTCGCTCACAGACCTGTCTCAACAACCCCCTTGCTCAGCTGTTTTTCCCCGGTTATATGGTCCTCGAAGCACCCCTTCCCCCTAAGGTTTTAGACCCGTTTTTATGACCCGATGCCCAGGTTGATGTGACAAAAGCAGCTTATTGCTGAATATGAAGAAAGGGAAAAGCCCCACTACTTCCACAGTGAAATGTCCTTAAAAAGGGATTTTTCTTCTGGAGCTTTCTTGATAAACCACTTTGTTCAAAATTTTTTCCCAAAAACAACGCAAAGCTTATTGAAATATTCTTTTTTTCTTTATTTCAAAAATTTCATCGATGAGAAAGTAAATGAAACATTGATAAGAACAAAATAAAAAATTGAATTGCTTAGTCCTTCACAAAATTTGGGGGAGTAGAAAGTGGGCAGAGTAAAACAATAAATGCAAATACATTAGAATTAAGGAAACTAACCCGATAGAACCTTAAAAGTAGTAAAAACTTATTTCGTTCAAATAGTGTGCACTGTAGTAAAGCAGAAGAATTGCAAGATTTTCAACATAAAAAACAAAAGCTCGCTTCCTCCCCTGCTAGAGTGTGGCACCTTTAACCCAGATTCTTTTTTCCACCATCAGTTGTGCCCATCCAAAAGATAGTAGCAAAACGTTTATTATGGGGGGACGGTTACAATTTCCCCTTTTAACCTCAGAAAAAGACCCAAAGCCCTTGTGTCCCTTGCCCATCTCAATCCTCAAGATCTTTGGTATTTCGGAAGCTTGTTGTCCAAGATCCCCCCCTATCCCATTTTAGTTAGTAAAAATTTCTTTCCAGGTGTGACAGTTATGTGGAAATTTACCACAAAACACTACATCTGTAACACAGATAAACTTTTAACGAACGGCAGAAACCCGATCTGTTATAGAGGTTTCTCTTAAATTTTTCCAACTGGTTTAACTTGAACTGAAAATATGAAGAAAAAAAATTCAAGCAATAACCATAAAATTTTCTCGAAATCCACAGTCATTTAAATCAAATCGGGTAAAGTGAACATTGTACATCAAGTGTGTTGTTGTGGGCTGGTAAATTTGCAATTTGTCTGTAAAACCTTTAAGGGATTTCTATACCGGGTTGTGATGAGAAAAGCCTTTTCGTGAGGTTGTTTTTAAGCTTACGATTACAAAAAGTGTAGATCAAGATTGTTTACCCTTCTTTCCCAAAGTGCTTTCCGTCATTTTGCTATTTTTTTTAATTGCGTCTCAGACTAGCAAATCGACGTAAAAATGATGGTGAAGGAAAAAGTAAATTAGGTTGTTAGGGAATAATTTTTTTCTCACCCAACCCTTTCATACATAGGTGGCAAAAATAACAAATGTTCAGTTCACATAGCAAACGACAACTCTGTATATCAACCCGAATAATAATGAAATTTAGCGGGAAAAATAGATTCACCCCCGAACAACCCCTTGCGCATATGCTCCATGTCACTAAGCCCTCTTGAATCCCGCATTAAATATTCATTAAACCCATGCGCTTTACAAATCCCAAATTCACTTCTACAAAAAACTGCATCCAATCAAAGGAAACAATGTGATCCCCCAACCCTTCCAATCAAATCCGCATTGATCACCGGGGCCCCACGTGCCCCCAGTGCCCCAACACTGTCCTGAGGCCCCATTCTGCACAAAGAGCCATTCTGTCAGCGCCCCAAAACTTTATCATGTGCCAGATCTGATCCCCCCCATGTATCACATCAACGCACTGCACCTGACACCCCATGGGACACGCATTACCGACGCCACACACTGCATCAGTGATGTCACACTCTGCATCATGATGCCACACACTGCATCACCTACACTGTGCTCCACATCAACATCACGACATCTACATCACGGGGCCACACAGTGCATCACCAGTGCCACACACTTTATCACTGATGCCACACTCTGCATCACCCACACTGTACTCCACATCACAGCACTGCACACTGCATCACCAACACTGCACACTGCATTACCAAACGCCACACACTGCATCAGTGATGTCACACTCTGCATCACTGATGCCACACATGCATCCCCTACACTGTGCTCCACAGCAGTACACTCTGCATCACTGACACTACACATTGCATCACCAAACATCACACACTGCATCACCAAACTACACCCTGCATCACCGATGCCACACACTGCATCACCAGCACTACATACTGCATCACCACCGCCATACACCGAATCACCAGCACCACACACTGAATCATCAGCACCAACTTTCCATCACCAGTGCCAACATTGCATAAACAGTGCCACACATTGCATCACCAGTGCCACACATTGTATCACCATTGCCCACACATTGCATCACCAGCACCACACATTGCATCACCAGTGCCAATGTTGCATCCCCAGCACTACACATTGCATCCCCAGCTCACACATTGCATCACCAGTGCCACATATTACTTCACTAATTCAAAAGACTGAATCACCAGTCCCAAACACTGCATACCAGACCACACTGTACACCAATGCAGCACATTGCATCACCAACACGACACACTGCGTCACCAACACGCACATTCATCACCAGCACGACACACTGCATCACCAACACAACACACTGCGTCATCAACCGGACACACTGATCACCAACACGACACATTTGCATCACCAACACATACTGCATCACCAACACGACACAGTACATCAACACTATACGTACATCAGATTCATCATTGCCCCACACTGCTTCACTAACATTGCACTCAGCATTACCAGCATTGCACTCAGCATCACAATAAGGCACTTAGAATTGCCAAAATATAGAGAATTCCCGTAGTTTAAAAATTTTTCACCGTCTCATCTCTAAGAAAACAACCAGCACCCAAAGAATCACCCACACCACATAGAGAGTCCCAACAGTACACCCAGAAACACCCCCAGACTGTCTAGCAACACCCCCATAAACAGCATATTAGACTCATCATTGCAAAGGTTTATCTCAGCAATATCTCTTCCAGTATCTTTAACAAATATTTCTAGACACTCCAGTCAGCATCACCAGCAAGCTCCTCTCTGCCACTTGCAGCTCTGCTTCATTGATACCCTCATCTTGTACACCCTATTCTGATTATATGCATGCCAACACACTTTGCCTGCATTTGTTCATCACCATTATTTTTCCACACTTCAAAGAGTGCACAAACCACCAGGCATCACCAACCTGTTGTACATCTGCATCATCTCTCACTTGCAACATACCAAATCTGCTCCAAGTACAGTCTCTTCTCAAGCATCTTTGCCATCTCTTCCGATATCTTCTCCTGTACTTATGGGGCAAATCCATGTATCTCTTCAGACATCTCCTTTGACCCATTCTTGGGAGTTTTTTAAAAATGAAATTCATCAGACATCTGGCACCTGTCCATAGGTTACAAACATCTGCTGATACCAGGAACCTCAGAGACAAACAACAACATTAATTGCTGTTGAGAAAGTTATGGTACTTGATAAGACAGCATCAGTTGGGAAAAAAAAGTTTATTTTTAAATTTTAGGATGACCAAATGCCTGGCAAAGTTTCAAGGGGTAACTTCTCATAGGCCCTACACATTTGAAAAGGTGAAGGCCAACAATTAGAGGCAGTTTCAGCAGTCAACAGAAACACTGAGGCATGTATCACAAAGGCCACAACTTGATACACAGCATTTGCCAGGAGGGGATCAATTTGCCTTTAATTAATATTCCATGTGATGAACGTCCTACAAGTTACCAAGCAACTGAAATGTTGGAACAGGTAATGTTATTCACTCAAAAGGGATTCATGTAGCTGTCCAAGAAGCAAAAAATATTGTAATTTTGGTTTGGTGATGACAGTGTTCAAAGGCCAGAATTTGTTGCTCCACAGATTTTGGGTGAGTTTGATCCATCGACTGGAACATTCACAAGTTTAATCCGGTGTTTTTGCAGTCCATTCTGATAGAAAGGGTCGGTCAGTAGTAAAACAATAAATGCAAATACTTTAAAAT